TCAATTCCTTTCTCCTTCCTCTTCAGCAGTTCCTTGTCTCTCTTCTCTTCCATCTCTGTTAGCTTTGCCATTATGAATGTTCTGAATTCTTTATCAGACATTTCCATGATTTCCATTGAACTGTGTGTGGATAAAGAGGAGCTATCCTTTTCCCTTGTGGGAGAGGTATTTTCCTGCTTCCCCATATTTCTTGTGGTCCTGCAGCGATTTCTAGTCATCTGGTGGATGATCGGTTTCTTCCCAAACTTGGAAGTTCAATCACGCGAGTTTTGGATGCTGGAGGCCCAGTTATCAGTGGGACATCTTCCTTTCTCCCCAAATGGCTAGATCACAGGAGCCATGGAGCTGTCTGTCTCTTGAAGAAGGGCTGTTCACGCGAGTTTTGGATGCTGGAGGCCCAGTTATCAGTGGGACATCTTCCTTTCTCCCCAAATGGCTAGATCACAGGAGCCATGGAGCTGTCTATCTCTTGAAGAAGGGCTGTTCTGGAATAATCCTTTTTTTAAAAAAGAATAAAACATTAAACAAATGCACTGAAAACAATATAAAGAAAATATCCGAGATTACAGCTGTGCAGGGAAATTAGGGGGGGCAGGCCTGTACCTGCACAGTCAGACCTCCCAACCCCGCAGTCACCGGATCGAAGCTGGCCTCCTGCGGACCAGCGCCCCCAGGGCACCCTTCATGTCACTGTTGCGCAGGCTATAGATGAAGGGGTTCAGCATGGGGGTGACCACGGTATATATCACTGAGGTGGCTGTGTCCTTCTGGGCCGTGTGGGAGGACGTGGGGCTGAAATAAACCCCGATGAATGTCCCGTAGTACAAGGTCACCACGGACAGGTGAGAGCCGCAGGTGGAGAAAGCCTTCCGCCTCCCTCCCGCGGACGGGATCCTCAACACCGCAGCGACAATGCGTGTGTAGGACACCAAGATGCCCACAAAGGGCATGATGAGAGTCAGGGCGCCCACGGTATTCACCATCACGTTATTGAGAAACGTGTCCGAGCAGGCCAGCTTCAGCAGAGGGCTGAGGTCGCAGAAGAAATGGGGGACCCGGTTGTGGTTGCAGAATGAAAGGCGGCTCAGGAAGACCGTGTGGGTCAGGGAGTTCCCGAAGGCGGCGGTCCAGGAGGAAGCCACCAGGAGGCCGCAGAGCCATGGGGTCACGGACGTGGTGTAATGCAGGGGGCGACAGATGGCCATGTAGCGGTCGTAGGCCATGGCGGTCAGCAAAAAAAGTCTGCAAACAAGATGAAGAAGAATGTCTGGGTCAAGCAGCCTGCGTAAGGGATCCCTCTGCGTCCTGACACGTGAATGGCCAGCATCTTGGGGACGGTGGTGGAGATGAAACAAATATCCACGAAGGCCAGGTTGGCCAGAAAGAAGTACATGGGCGTGTGGAGACGGGCGTCCATGCCGATGGCCAGGATGATGAGCAGGTTCCCCATGCCGGTCACCAAGTACATACTCATGAAAACCACGAAAAGCAGCTGCTGCTGTTTGGGGTCCTCTGAGAATCCCAAGAGCAAGAACTCGGAGATCTGGGTGAGGTTCACTTCTTCCATGGTCACCGTTCTGGATTGATCAGAAAGACCACCAGTGTTCACCCAAAGGCAATAAAATGAATATGTTGGGACGGGCAGCTGGCATAATGGCTATGTTGCTGGACTCCTGTGTAGATGAACGTGGTTCAAGTCCTGGGCCTGGTGGCTTAAACTCATGCCAGGCGCATATGTGTGTGTGCCCAAGATCCTGAGAAGAGAATGGAGGAGAAGGGATTGTGGTGTGGCCGTCCCTCCTGGGGGGTGATTTCTTGTTTTCTGTCTGTCTCTCTGTCTTTCTGGGGAGCACATATGCCCTATAATATAAACCTCTCACCACCCCCCCAAAAAAATCACGCCGGGTGCGTGCATGTGCGTGCTCAAAGTCCCAAGAGGAGAATAGAGGAGAAGGAATTGCGGCATGGCCATCCCCCCTGGAGGGGCGATTTCTCACTTTCTCTCTCACTGTCTCTCTCTGACATGCACACATGTCCTATGGCTAAAAATAAATAATTAATAAATTAATGTTTATTTAATTATTTATTTTAATGATTTTGGGTATTGGGCATGTGTGCTCACCGGAGAGAGAGAGACAGAAAGCAAGAAAACACAGGGGGTTTGGCCACAATCCCCTCTCCTTCACTCTCCTCTCAGGATTTTGGACATGAACACTCAGGTGCCTGGCACTGAGTGTCAAGCCACTGGGTCTGGGACTCAAATGGCAGTTGGCCATGGGGGAGTCCAGTGACATAACCATTATGCCATCTGCTGGTCCCTTATTTATTTATTTTAATTTTTGCTGTAGGGCACATGATCTCACCAGAGAGAGAGAGAAAGAGCAAGAGAGGGAAAGTGAGAAATCACCCTTAGCAGAGATGGCCATGCTACAATCCCTTCTACTCTATTCTCCTCTTGGGATGTTGAGAATACACATGCACCTGACGCGTTTCTCAAGCTGCTCGGTCTGGGGCTCAAACTACATAGTGGGCCATGGGGAATCAAGCTACTCCAACCACCACGCCACCAGATGGCCCTATTATTATTATTATTATTTTAATCTTTTAATGTGTGTGTTTTCTTAGAATTATATTTATTTATTCATGTATTTTAATTTGACCACACACACACACTCACACACACACAAACTGGGTGCGGGTGGAGGAAGTGAGACAGCAAGTCACCAGGTTTGGGACTCGAACTGTGATCAGACATGTGGGAGTGTCCACCACTTTAGCCACCATGCCACCTGCTGATCCCACAATGTGTTTGTTTTTTATGATAGGGAGTGAGTGAGTGCAGGAGAGAGGGAGGCAGAGAGAGGCCAGCAGGGTCCTCACACCACAGTCCAACCTCCAGCCTCAGTAGCCTGGATCACAGGCATGTACATGCATCCAGTGTGCACGGGAGGTTCTGAGCTGTGAACCAGGGACCTCCCAGTGCGGGTCCAGTGGCATTACTATGGCACCACCCTCTGACCTTTAACCTTGCTTTTTCTTTTTTTTAATATTATTTAATTGTATTTATTAATTAATTTATTTTAATTTAACCTGAGAAAGACACACAGAGAGAAGAAAAGGAAGACAGCAAGCCACCAGGTCCGGGACTCAAACTGTGGTCGGCCACGTGGGAGGCCAGAGCCCTTAATTAACATGCCACCAGCTGGCCTTTGATTTTTCTTCTTAAAAAATTATTGAATTTTATTATTATGTTTAAAGTTTTTATTTTGCTATAGGACACATGCACTCACTAGAGATGGGGAGGGTGAAAAAGTAAGCCAGGTCTGGAACTCGAATTGCAGTTGGCCATGTGGGAGGGAGTCCAGCACCTAAAGGACCATACCACATGCTGTCCCCACCACCACCTTTGCTTTTTTTCCTTTTGGTTTAGAATTATTTATTATTTTTAGATTATTTAATTTTTTTTAGGGATTTTTGTTATAGGGTGTATGCACTCACTGGAGAGACAGAGTGATAGAAAGTGAGAAATCATGATCCAGGGGATGGCCAAGCCCTAGTCCCTATTCTCCTCTCAGGTTCTTGGGCACACACGCGCACGTGCCTGGCCTGAGTTTAAGCTGCCAGGTTTGGGACTCCAACTGTGGTCGACTACATGGAAGTCCAGCGACATAGCCATTATGCTAACTGCTAGTCCCAAAGAAAATTTTTAAAAAATAATTATTTCATTTATATAATTATTTGTTATTTTCACATGAATTTGCCAGAGAACAACAGAGAGGGAGAGTAAGAAAGCAAGCCACCAGGTCGGGGACTAGAGCCCCTGTCAGGGATGTGGGAGTGTCCACCACTCTTAACCACCATGCCACCTGCCGGCCCTGGCCTTCTATAGGTTTTAGAAACATTTTACACACACACACAAACACACACACACACACACACATATATACACACACAAACACCTCTATGTATTGTTCATGGATACCTCCCGGGTTGAAAGGTAAAACATATGCATGGGAGGAATGAGGATGATTTATTCTGGAAAATAATTCAGGATGTTGGTTATGTCTGAGAAAGGGAGAGACAGAGAGAGAGAGAGAGAGAGAGAGAGAGAGAGATGAATTTATATGGAGTGGTTGGAGAAGTCAAGGTGCATTTAAAGGCACCATGACTTTTCCAACCACCCAATAGCTAGACAGATAATAGATATGACACACGGGTAGCTGATAGGTAGACAGAGAGATGGATGGATGACAGACAGATGATATTATAATAGATGACAGATGACAACTAGATAGAAAATAGGTGGGACACACAGATGACAGAGAGAGGGATGGATGATAGACAGATGATAGTAATAATAGACAGATGATAGCTAGATAGACAATAGGTGGGACACACAGATGACAGAGAGAGGGATAGATTATAGACAGATGGTAGTAATAGACAGATGACAGCTAGATAGACAATAGGTAGGACACACAGATGACAGAGATATGGATGGATGATAGGCAGATGATAGTAATAATAGACAGATGACAGCTAGATAGACAATAGGTAGGACATACAGATGACAGAGAGATGGATGGATTATAGACAGTGATGATAGATGATAGTAATAATAGACAGATGATAGCTAGATAGACAATAGGTAGGACACACAGATGACATAGAAATGGATGGATGATAGACAGATGATAGTAATAACAGACAGATGATAGCTAGATAGACAATAGGTGGGACACACAGATGACAGAGAAATGGATGGATGATTGATGATAGTAATGATAGACAGATGATAGCTGGATAGATAATAGGTGAGACACACAGATGACAGAGAGATGCATAGATTATAGATAGATGATAGCTAGATAGACAATAGGTAGGTCACACAGATGACAGAGAGATGAACGATGGACAGATGACAGATACACTAAACAGACGTTAGACAGTTATACAGACAGTAGACATGACCCGTGGATAGGTGATCAGTAAACAGAGTGAGGGAGAGATGACATATATAATGCATGATAGAGAGCAGAGAGAAAGAGACGGATGGTAGATATAGATATAATAGAGGCTACTGGAGCTTGCAGGTGGCATGCTGGCTAAGGGCACTGGGCTCCTTTGTGACCCACCAGGGTTCAAGTCCCAGACCTGGTGGTTTACTTTCTCACTTTTCCTCTCTCTCAGTCTGGCCCTCTCTGGTCAAATGACAATAAATAAATACACAAATACATAAATAAAGTTAAATAAAATAATTATTTTAGAAAATAGAGGATATTGGGTTGTCGGAAAAGTCATGATGCATTTTTGCATAGAACATACATCAGTAAATAGATAATAGATAGAACATAGAGGTGATAGGTAGGTAGATGACAGATGATAGATATAAGACCGATGATGGATAGACAGATGATAGATTAATGGGTGAGAGATAATAGATAGATGATAGACAGGGCGATAGATGTATTTGTTTATTTGTAAGAATTATTTATTCAATTCCATTTGTTATTATTATTTTTTAATTTGACCAGACAGAGACAGAGAGAGAGAGAAAGGGAAAGTGAGAAAGCAGGCCACCAGGTCCAACAACCGAACCGCGGTCGGCCATGTGGGAGTCTGTTGCCCCCAACCACCACTCCACCTACTGGTCCTGAGTTAGAGATATTTGAAAGTGCAAGATGTACATGGGGAACCAGCTTTACCCAAGATGCATTTACTTCTTAAGTTGGGTGATGAATACAAGCTGTGTTCTAGCTTGAATCTTTTTTT